ATAGCAGAAGACCGGCACTCAAGGAATTTGATCAAAATATTTACTGTTCAAAGAAGAATCGACGTTTCAGCTCCTCTAGGAAGCTTTCATCAGGACATACACAATCACAATATAAATGAAACACTTATATAAGGAGTAAGTGAATAAATAATTAAGGTACTTACATACAGCTGGCAATCAGGGGCTGCTCGTTGCCGTTTACCGCCATGGGTGTCACGACCGGACTCATTTCCGGGTTGGTCACTTGACCGCTGCTCACATTCTAATAGGACACAATGCGTAGGTGCTAAGCAACCAAGGACGCCAACGTCCAATTGGTTGTAGCTCGTTTCTACGGTGTCCAGAAGTGGACAATTTTAATCTAGGTCATTTTAACCACATTTCAAGCGTGAATTTAGCCAAAATTAATGGCATAGCACACCCCGGCCTCTCGGAAGTGAGCAGTCCCTATACAGGGAACAACAATGTATATTTATATATACAGTATTACATACACATATTCAAGTGCACAAATGATTAAGTGAAAAGCACAAAGTATGATATTACAAATCTCAAGAAAGATCCTAGAACAGGAATGAAGAATCAATCAAAATGTGAAACTAATGTGTCAAATAATCGATTAGATATTGTGAACTTATCATGTCAAAAATCTATAGAAATGAGTATGGAAAGGTAATAAACACTAGATAAGTGAAAAGTACTTTTATATTACGGAAGAGTGAGGCCTATCATGCTCATTAGTGTAGTAAATATGGTGAAAAATTCTATTAAAAGTATATCAGCAATATAAATAGTTGTGGCATGAGAATAACGTAAAGAGTCTATTCAATTTGTCCAGCAATTACATGACAAAAGATATATATAAAAAAATCATATATATGTCGTCCCCTGCATCATTGCAAACTGTATGTACCAAAATATGAAAAGACTATATATAAGAATATAAAATCTAAATTAAAACCAACACAAAACATAATTAGCTGTCCTACATTTAAATAGGACCTATTTTTGCCAATATTAGTCATAACCAAAGGAAGCAATATTGTATAATCAGACTTCATGAGCTCCCTCAGATGCCTATCTCATAAGAATGTTATGAAGGAACATTTCTCATTGAGACCCTTTGGGGACAACGTTCCTAATTGGTGAATCCTGTAGGCTTCCCTTTGTAATAGCAATTTAGCCCTATCACCCCCACGATTGGGCATTGGGACATGTTCTATTGCTATGCATCTCAATGAGGAAAGATGGTGTTGCAACTCTAGAAAGTGTCTGGCCACAGGTTTGTCCGACTTGCCATCACGATAGGCTAGCCGGATACTAGATCTGTGGCCTCTGATTCTCTCACAGAGAGCTGTCTCTGTTTTCCCCACGTAATTTAGTCCGCATGGACAAGTGAGTTTATAAATTACGTGATCTGTACGACAGTGTATCCGTTGCCAGATTTTATACACTTGTCCTGTGTAGGGGTGTGTGAAGATTTTAGATGGAATAAGGTGACCGCATGTCACACACCCCAAACACCTTACACACCCGACATTAGTATTGCCCACTTTCGTCTTATCATAACAGTGTCGAGGATCAGTCTTGACCAACAGGTCTCTTAGGTTCTTGTTCCTTCGGTAGCAGAGCATGGGTGTTTGTTGAAAAATCTCTGGAAGTGTGGAATCAAGTTCCAATGTGTGCCAATTTCTTTTGATGGTTGTATTCAATTCAGAGCTTGCGGTGTTCAATTGTGTTAAAAAACCTACATCTGCTTGTTGCCACTTTGGCTTCAATCCGTGTCTTTGGATCAGATACTGTCTTAGCTTTTGACAGGGCCTTGTCGA